AAACGACCATGTATAGTAAGGCGTTTTTAGACGAAAAAAACGTCCATGTTTTGAAAGGCATTTTTAGACGAAAAAAACGACGATGTATAGGAAGGCGTTTTGAGCCGAAAGAAACGACCATGTATAGTAAGGCGTTTTTAGCCGAAAAAAACGACCATGTATTGTATGGCGTTTGAACCCGAAAAAAACGACCCTGTTTCGAAAGGCATTTTTAGACGAAAAAAACGACGATGTATAGGAAGGCGTTTTGAGCCGAAAGAAACGACCATGTATAGTAAGGCGTTTTTAGCCGAAATTTTTAGCCGAACAAAACGACCATGTATAGTAAGGCGTTTTTAGCCGAAAAAAACGACCATGTATAGTAAGGCGTTTTTACCCGAAAAGAAACGACCATGTATAGTAAGACGTTTTTCGACGAAAAAAACGACCATGTTTCGTAAGGCATTTTTAGCTGAAAAAAACAACCATGTATATTAAGGCATTTTTAGCCGAAAAAAAACAACCATGTATAGTAAGGCGTTTTTAGCCGAAAAAAACGACCACGTATAGTAAGGCGATGTATAGTAAGGCGTTTTTACCCGAAAAGAAACGACCATGTATAGTAAGGCGTTTTTAGATGAAAAAAATAGACCATGTGTAGTAAGGCGTTTTTCAACGAAAAAAACAACCATGTATAGCACGGCTGTCAAACTCATTTCACATTGTGGGCCACATAGGGCCTCGGTAGATGTCAAGTGGGCCGGTCAATTAAAAATTATACCATACTCTGCTATAAATAACCAAAATAATGTTTTTCCTTTGTTTTGGTCTAAAGATGCACAAGAGCACTAGGAAAATGTTGAAATTTAAGGAATATATCTTTTACAAAACATTTCATGAAGCACCTAAGATTTCCTTTGACAAATGTGCAATTTACTTCATTCACATACAGTCAGACCTCGGTTTTCGAACGTCTCGGTTCTCGACCAATTCGGTTTTTGACCAAAAATTTTGAGTTTTTTATGCCTCGGATGATGAACAAATTTCGGTACTCGAACAAACTGTGCGCACTTGAATGCACCATTTGACTCCTCTTGCCTTCCTTACACGAGGAAGTGATGCTTCCTCGGGTGGCATACCATTGTGAGCAGACGTGTTCAAGAAACATTTTTATTTTAAAAAGAGCGTGGTTTCGGTTTTCGAACAATTCGGTTTTCAAACAGCCTTCTGGAATGGATTATGGATGAAAACCGAGGTTTGACTGTATATGCATTGCAACTGATCCCACTGACTGTACAAACGCACAAAACTTTAACAAGTAATTGGTCTTGAAAAATACAGTAATGCACTTTTAAGATTAAACGAGATTCATAAAGAAAGGAATTTTTAAACCATTTAGACGAGTATAGAAAAGCTAAATGTAATCCCTGCCTACACCTTACAAACTAAGGAAAGTGCTATAATATGTGTAAAGAAGAAAGTATTCACATGTCCTTGATAGCGTCTGCTGTATTGGGTCTGTCTCGGTGACAGACTGAGGCTGCTGTTGTCTTCTGCTCTGATCAAAACAATGTTGTTTTTTCCTCTGATCAAAACAGTGTGTCCCCCTAGCGAACATTCCATGAATTGCACTTTATTAAAAATATTCATTCATGTCTTTTATGCATTTTTTCACTTTTAAATTATCCTGCGGGCCTGATCAAACCTCCTTGCGGGCCGTATGTTTGACACCCCTGTTCTTGGCGATCGTGAATAAAGTGCAAATGAAACACCCATGACGCACACTACCAAAACGTGCAAGCCAACTTTATTCATTGTTTCAAGATGCTTTGTTGATCACGGCAACTCCGAGCATGTTACAATCGTTGAAAAACCTTGTCCACACGTTAAATACATGAAAAACAATTCAGTGTCAATATTAGCATAGAAAATAATTTATTTGTTCAGTCAGAAAACCAACACCAGTGAAAAGTACACCGTCTGATATAAAAATGTCAGTGGTAACCATAAGATAAATATAGTATAATTTTAAAATGTTGAAATGAAAAAAAAATTGAATAATGTACCTACTGTATCTCAAAAACTTGAAAATATATATCTATATATATATATATATGTTCACAACTTTGGTTAAAAGATGCGGACTAAAAAAACAAGGTCTTGCGATTGCCTTAGACCGCAAAATCTAGGGCTGTCCAAATGACCTTGGTTTGGCTCAAGGAGTTGGCTAGAACATTAGGACCAAGATGCCAAAACCTTACTTTAGACCTGGACAGGAAGACATCCAGTAGGTCAAAATTTGATCAGAAAGCCCAACACCTGGTTTATGACTCCAGTACAGCAATAGGACTTTGTCCAAAAGACTATGACCAAAAAAATCAAGGTCTGGCTTGAAATTCAGACGGAATGACATCGGTAAGACTTGCCCCCAAAAGACTGAGTAGGTCCATCTTGGAACATAGGCCAAAGGCTCTTTCTCAGGTCCTCGACCAAAAATACGTACAGTAGGTCTTACTAAAACACCCGAACCTAAAGACAGAATGTAGGTCTGGGTCTAACCTTGGTCAGAAAGACCGAGGTCAGATGACCAACAGACCAAAGTCTTTCTTCACACTTGGAAAGACGTAGACTCATTTGAGTCTTGCCCATAAAACATCTACATCTACCTTTAGCGGTTGCCCAAAGGACCATGTCCAAAAGACCAAGTACTTGCTTTGTACTTGGACCAAAAAAGACAAATGTCCAGGCCTAGTTTATGACTTTCCTCAAAGAGACAGAGGTGGGCCTGGACTAGGATCAAAACAACAAGGCCTTACATAGAGCCATGAGCCAAAAAAACTGGACCAATGGGTCTTGCTTTAAGGTCAGACAGAAAGACCGAAGGCTGGCTTATGACTCGTCCTTAAAAGGTCTACTGTTTGAGACATTGGCCAAAGGACGAGAACCAAGATACCATGGTCTTGCTAAGGTCTTTGAATCAAAGAAATGGACCTTAAAGTCTCACTTTAAGGTCAGAAAAACCTAGATGTGCCTCCTCCCTATAACTGTCGGTTCTCCGTTAACTACAGTACATTAACTTTTGTCCATAATTCTCCCACAAGAACAGGACCAACATTTACAACTCTTTAAAAAATTTGACAATTAACGGTAAGACTGGTTTAAAAGACACTAAAGAGCTACAAATCTAAATATGAAGTCCATCATTCACTAGGACACTGGAATGCCGAGAACCTCCATGACTGTGTTTTCCCTCTCTGTTGCTTCCTCTCCTCCCATGATCCCTTTTTGTCTTGTCCCTGTCACTTCCCCTCCTTTCCCAGTCAGTTCCTGTCATGACTCGGTCACTTCCTCTCCTGTGACTCTCTGTGCTCCCTCGATAATCCTCCTCGTGGTCACCGCCTCTCTCAAGCTTCTTCGGGGCGTTCTCGGTTTGGCTCATTCTTTTTCCTCGCCGCACACTTCGTCTCCCGCCCTTTCCTCCGCTCTCCTGTGGTGACTCCTGTGGCTGGACGCTATCCTCCACTCTGTGTGGTCCCGCCGGCTCGATTCTCGACTCTGTTGCGAATCCCTCCGTTCATCTTGCCCACCATTATCCTTCTTTTTGGGTTTCTCCTCCACTTTTTTATGAGACGCTGCTGTTTCTTTCTCTTGCTTCTCCTTGGAACCCGTGATCCGGTTCTCTATCTCCTTGTCCATTTTGTCCTTCTTTCTCAACCCTTCCTTCTTCTCGGCGATTTTGCCCCACTCAATCCGTTTGTCCAGTTTTAATTCCATGAGGTCCAGCTCTTGTTCCAGTTCTGCCAGCTTCTTGGGATCTGACTCCAGGTCATCGTCTACCTCCACCTCCACCTCTACCTCCTCGATTTCCTCATACTCCTCCACCTCGATGCCGTCCATGGTCTTCTGCAGCTGAGTCTTGACCTTGTTGAGCTCCAGGAGGCCATCCTGTAGCTCCTTGCACACATCCCTGATCTTGGATGCGAACTTGGTCTTGGCACCTTTGCGCAGGTCATGGGAGTCCTTGGCGAGGAAGAAGACATCTAAGGCCAGGAAGAGTGCCGACATGACCCCCGTGGTGACGCTGATGGCCTGGGCGGCCTTGGCTGCTCCAGCCCCCGCACTCAGAACCTGGACAGTGCTAATGAGCTTGTCGGTGTTGATCATTAGGGCCTTCCCCGCTCGGCCGCCTTCCTTCACCACATGTTTGATGTTGCGGTTCATGGCCTTCTTGGCAGCACTCTGCGTGTACTTCTCAAAGTCCCACTCCTGCAGGGTGTCTATGCCTTCCTGCACAAAATTCATACACTCGCGGATGTCTTTGATCTGCTCCTGGTAGTCCTGGATCATCTTTTCCACCTTCTTGCGGTCCATGTTAGAGTGGACGGCGTCTGTTATGTTGGCCGTGGCCGAGGTGATGCTGCCTGCCGTGGCCACGCCAATGCCTACCGCCGTGACAATGATGGAGGCGCCAAAGGTGAATGGCGCCAGGATGAGCCCCGTGATGGTCGTCAGGCTGCCAGCCACGCTGGCCACGCGTCCGCCTACGGCTGCCGATATCGTCTTTTTATGGAACTGGTCTGCGGTATCGGCAACGGCCAGCAGCTCAAGGATGCAGTGTTGCAAGGATGCCCCCCGCTGGTTGAAGAGGCGCACAAACAGGCGCGCTGCCATGTAGACACGGTCGGCCGCCTCCTCCATTGCTCTGCAGACATTGACATGACGGGAAACTTCATTAGGTACACCTGCATTACATTCACTGCTACCTTATGACATTTACTCCTATCCCCCGAAACATCCTCCAATGATCGACCAATCACTAGTCACCTACACCACCCATTAATGTATCACCTATCCATCCATCCAACATCAATCGATCCATCAAACATTCTATCAATCAATCGATCAATTTATCCATCAACCTATGGTATCATTCATCCATCCATCCAGACACCCTCTCAACCATCCAGCAATCCCTCACTATCTGTAACTCTTATCTATCCACCTATTTATCAATCTGTCCACATCCATCCATCCATCCAGCTAGCCGTCTGTCATCTGTCCGTCACCGATTGCCACATCTGTCATTCAGCCAATCATCTCTCCACGTATCAGTCTACACATCCATTCATCATTCATGTTTAAATCTATGATCCCTGTATTAATCTACCCAATCGTCCATCTACCAATCCAACTATCTATCGACTGTATCATCACTCCAACCATCCATCTCTGTAAAATCTGATCTAGCCACTTATCAATCTCACAATCCAACACTGATCCATCCAACCAGAGGCCCATCAACCAGCTATTGATCATCCATCATCATCATCGATTAACCAACCACAGTCTATCATTTATCCACCCCACCATCCATCATCTATCCATGCATCCATAGATCACAAATCCATCATATAAAATTCAACCATCCATCCACCTATATTTATCCATCAATCTACCCACCCATTTATAATCAATAAATCAAAAAACTAAGAGTGTGCATACATTCCCTCCTCATCTTCTTGGAAATTGGCTGTCTCGTTCCACTCGGCCCAACCTGTGGAGACAGGAAGTCAAGACAAACCACATCAGACAGATGAGAGAACGAAAATCGAAAAGATAAAATAAATAAATAAATAAATCAAGATGGTGCACTTGCCTATAACATTTTTCCACCATTCCATCAGGCCATCGTTCTCCTACAAGAAAAAAAAAACCCAAAAAACAACACGACACTCAACTTTGACCTCATGTTGTCATGTTATGCTGATGGGGATGCGGATGGTGGCGGCGCACACGCACCTCCTCAGATTCCAGCGGGTTTCCCTCAGTTGGGTATGCGGCCATCTCCACCGGTTGGACCTCAACTGTACTCTGAAAAATATACAAAAAAATTAAATCCAACCCCCATCATACATGATTATCACACGAGACCTCAGTTCAAAGGAGTAAAGAGGAGGAAGGAGAAGAAGAAACTCACCTGTGCCGGAATCATCTCCTGCATCTCCAGACTCTCCTCAATGACCGGCATCTTTTCTTGGGCCTGAGAAGCAAAAAGCAAGAGAACGAATATCACTGAAGATGAAAACTTAAAACTGCAGGCAACTTCGTTTTGTCCATCTGTTTGGTATATGTGGTTCAAATTCTTTAACAATCGGAAAAAAAACGGTATCTCTCCAAGTCCATCTTGGAAAGCTCCCGAGAAATCGACCCCACAACGCCTCAAAGCAAAATGATAGTCATCCTGTGTCTTTTCAGGCAAGGCTTCCTGAGTCTTTTTTGTGGATCTGCCCATAATAGATAATGCTATTAAATGTTGTGCTGCAAAGATAAACTGGCTGAGGGGTTACCTGTGACGACCCGTTGAGTTTTGGCATCTTGGGAAGAGTTGTCTTGACTCTGAAGGATATAACCTGGAGGAGGTTAAAAAAAAAAAAAAGTGACATAACAGTCAGACCGAGAAAATATTTTGCGCGTCGCAACTTCACAAAACAAAAGGCTCACTCGTCTTTTTTTCTTGATGGTCATCCTGCGTTTCAGCCCCCCGCCCGCAGATGGCGCCACCTCCTCGTCATTATCATTGTCCTGCGAGCGTTAACGGGGCATTGGAGCGTGTGAACACATCTTCCCATGTGACTTGAAGAACAGCCTTACCTGTTTGTCAGCGGTTTTGGGCGTCCTCTTGAACATGGCAGTGAAGCCTCCTTTTTTCTCCTGTCAGACATAAACAGAGATTCAGATATGCTGTACAGTGTATGCACACGTCAATCACACTTACTGGAAAAGGATTCCAAATGTGCACCGCGTACTCACTCACCTTTGCAGTGGCAGCTTCAAGATCGACAGGAGGGCCTGCTAATTCGTCTCCTGACAAGTCATCCTTGTTAGAAGAAAAAGACCAAAACCAATACAATTCTCTTCAGTGATAGTTGGAAAAGCACAGTTTTGCCTGTACACAACTAATGTTTGTTCCAAATGTCTGTTAAAATATAAAGAAAATAAATGCAATGCAACATTTATTTAAAATGTAATTAAATAAATCACTGAACCCCAACCTCCTAACCCTTCTTCTCTCTGTCTCGCCAAAGTGCGGCAAAAAAAGAAAAAAATAAGAATAATCACAGTATTTTTCTCCTGTAATTTACCTTGACACTTTCTTCCTGCTTGCCATCACTAAGAGGATCCTGGAAGCAAAAAAAAAAAAGATGTGACGTTCAATTTTTTTATCAAATGAACACGAGTAGAAGATCGTCGCGGAGATCACCTTGGTGGCGAGGGAGCGTGGCGCTGGTTTGGGCGACTTTTTTAATAATCCCGCCAAACCTCCCACCTTTTCCTGGGAACGAAATATTGTGTCATTAAACAGGGTGAAAACAGTCCAAATGTGATGTCTGTCACCATCGTCTGCACCTTTGGTGCATTTTCTTCTGTCAAGTTTTCATTGCTGGCCGATAAGAGCTTCTTTTCCTCATCGCCGTTTGACTCCTGCAGAGCAACAATAATAGCGACAA